TTATTAATGGGTACAGGGGTGGCATACAGAGACCGCCGATGCCGGGGACGGCCCGACGGGGCGGGGTAAGGTATCCCAGATAACAGCTTCCGTGTCAGCGGTGGGGTAGCCATTTATAGGCTGAGTTACCACAGATGTAAAAGGACTGTCCATTAGCTACCATGCCATTGTGGCCCAATTTGTCGACTGCGGCTTCTAAGGGGGAATAATATTGAAGCCCTTTGCCTGTGTTTTGGCCAAAACTATTAAAGAGAGGAATAGTTTGGTGTTTGCGGAAGGGGACAAATAAAACTGACAGGTACTGTCACCGGCAAACCAGGTGTGGTTAGCAGTGGCTTTCTGGCGATAACAAAGGAGGCCCAAGGGGACGGAGCCTAGCCGGATGGGTTTGGGGGCGTGGGTCGCATTCTAGTAGGGTTTCCAGGGGTTATTATTGCTGCTAAAATTTGCCTTTTTGGTACAGTTTTTTGTTAGGGTGGGCTGTGTTCGCAACCGAGTGGCGTTTACTTTTAACCATTAGTCGCAGAGGTCCGACCAGTTGTGGGGGGTTGCCCTCCCGGGGGAAGCCGGCTGCATGGTAGGGGATTTGGGAACATATTTAGCAGTTGGAAAGATTAAATTCACGGGCAAAAGCTATTTTTAAGGCCTTATAGGGGTTTATATTTTGATTAATAGTTTTTATTTATTTTTTTTTTAGAGAGAGGGAGATGGGGAACACCAGGCAAATGACACCCACTATGAGGGACTTTATGGTGTATATGCCCTTTTAGGTTTTTTTTTTTGCTTATGTTTTTTTAAATAATAACTTGAGTTTAAGATTGTCAGAGGGCGAAGTGGTGATGGGCTGGACGGTCCACCGTTCCGCTGGCGGAGGAGTAGGCACCACCTTCAGGCGAGATTGATGGGTCCAGTTTTTGTGTCTTTTTATTTTTGCCGCCGTGTGGAAAACCAGGAGGACGGTGTGCGGTCCTTTCCACTTTTCTTGGAGAGGCTTGTCTTTTCAGGTATGAACAAGCATGGAGTCTTCTGGCTGCAAGGAATGGATAGGGGCATCCAATGGAAGAGGCTGGAAGTCTTTGGTGTACCTGTGGAGAGAAAAGAGAACAGCAGATGGAGAGCACATATACTGAGACAAAAAACCATACCCCATTTCCCACTCCCCTGCCAGAACCGGTGTCCCATTCATAGGCCATGCCCTTTCAAACATAATTTTAAAGGGACTAAGCCCTAATTTACCTTTTGGGAGAGCACGGACGTGGAGCAGGACAAGGGGCAGAGCATCGGGCCATCGCAGGGAGGCTTTTTGGCACACCTTTGAGAGGTGTTGCTTAAGGGTTTGATTGATACGCTTCACTATGCCACTGGCTTGCGGTCTCCAGGGCGTATGGAGTTTTCAGGGGATCTGTAAGGCATTTGAGATGTTTTGAATGATTTTTGATGTGAAGTGAGTCCCCTTGTCAGATTCAATTTATTGGGGCAGTTTGAAGCGGGGAATAATTTCCTTAATGAACTTGAGGGCCACTGTTTTGGCAGTGCAATTACGGCATGGGAAGGCTTCAGGCCATCTGCTGAATCGATCCACCAAGATGAGGAGATATTTGAACCCTTGGGTCCGGGGAAACTCAGTAAAATTTATTTGCCAAACCAGTCCGGGGCCCGGAGTGGGTTTCAGGGTAGCTGGTGGTACTGGATGTCCCGGTCGAGGGTTATTTTTTTGGCAGACTAAACAGTCAGTTTGCACCTGGGTAGCCAGGGGTCGGAGCCCAGAAGTCAAGAAGTATTTTTCCATCAGCTGGATAAGGGCTTCTTTGCCGGCGTGAGTAGTTTGGTGTAGTTTCTGCAGTACTGGCCGGATCAGGCCCTTCAGTAGGAGGATTTTCCCTTCCAGGGAATGAAGCCACCCCTCCTTTTTCTGGAGACTGAGTTTGTCAGCTAGTTTTTTTTTTTTTTTTTTGCTAGAGTACTGAGGGGTCGGAAGCTCCCCCGCTGATGGGATAAGGGCATGCATATGGGCATTCTCAGTCTTTGGGGATTTCAGGGTGGCGGCATGCTTAGCTTTCCTATTTGCCCGGGCGTTTCCCCGGCCACATTCTGATTTTCCCTTTGATGGGCCCTACAGTGCATCACCGCCTCTTTTGAGGGGAGTTGTACGGCTTCTAGGAGCTGGAGAATTTGGGGCCCGTACTTGACTGGGGAGCCTTGGGCCGTTAGCATTCCCCTTTGCTTCCACAGGTCAGCATGAGCATGCAGCACTCCAAAAGCATATTTTGAATCTGTAAAAATATTGACCCGCTTTCCTGTTGACAGCTCGAGCGCATGGGTGAGGGCTACCAGCTCGGCAAGCTGGGCAGAGGTCCTGGCGGGCAACCCCTTGGCCTCCACGGTATCATGGAGGGTCACGACAGCATAACCCACCCTCCTTTGCCCATTTATTACAGTGCTGCTACCATCGGTGTACCACTTACAATCCGCATTTGGGAGTGGTTGATTCTTTAAGTTTGGGTGGCTGGAGTATTGGGCATTTATGATATTCAGACAGTTGTTTTCCTGTTTTTTTGTTTCTGGCAAAAGGGTGGCTGGGTTAAGGGAGGGGCAAGGCTGCAGGGTGACTTTGGGGTTCTCTAAAAGCTTAGCCTGATACCGAGCAATTCGAGCCTGGGTGAGCCAGAGACCACCCTTAGCGTCCAGCAGGGCCCGGACCATATGGGGAGTATACACTTGCACGCCCCCCCCCCCAGTGTTAGCTTTTTAGCTTTTCCAAGTACTAGGGCAGTGGCCGCGACCACCCATAAACATGCCAGCCACCCCTTTGCAACTTGATTCAGTTGTTTGGAAAAATAAGCCATGGGATGTTTCCAGGTCCCTAACAACTGGGTTAGCACTTTCAGGGCTACCGCTTTTTGTTCATGCACATATAATTGAAATGACTTAGAGAGATCCGGCAGACCCAGGGCTGGAGCCTTTATTAGCTTTTTTTAAAAAAATTTAAATGCTTTGTTATCTTCTGGGGACCAGTGAAAGGGGTCGTGATTTGTTCCCTTGACGCAGTCGTACAACGGTTTAGCCCATAGTCCAAACTCTGGGATCCATATTCTGCAAAAGTCTGCCATACCCAGAAATGCCCTGAGTCGTTTACGATTGCTTGGGGTAGGAACTGGCATACAGCTTCCTTTTTTTTGTTTGAAAGCTGGCGCTCCCCTTGCCATATGTGGAACCCTAGGTACCGGACTTCTGGGAGGGCGATTTTGAGCCTTACTCCGTGCTACCCGATATCCTCGGAGTCCAACAAAGTTTAGGAGACCCACAGTGGCTTTAAGGCAAGGGGATAGGCCTACAGTGGCAATTAACAAGTTATCTACATATTGCAGAAGGAGGGCCTCCTCCATATTGTCCCACTCCTTTAGGTCCCTGGCCAGAGCCTGGCCAAAGAGGATGGGGGAATTTTTAAATTCCTGGGCCAACACTGTCCAGCAAAGTTGCTTTTTAACCCTTTTTTGGTCCTTCCACTCAAAGGAGAAGATCTTCTGAGATGGGGTGTTTACTGGAATGGTAAAGAAAGCGTCTTTCAGATCGAGAACCGAAAAATGGGTATACTGTCCCCCGATGGAGGCCAGTAGTGTATACAAGTTCGGGACAAGAGGGTGCAGAGTCTTAACTGCCATTAGGTCCTGTACCAGTCGATACGTGCCATCAGGCTTTTGTATGGGCAGAATGGGAGTGTTCCAGGCTGACTGGCATTCTTGAAGGATGCCGTATGTTAGGAACCGGTCTATAGTTTTTTGCAGTCCTTTTCTGGCTTCCCCCTTGATTGGATACTGTTTGACTTGCACCGGGCCCTTCTCTGGCATGAGCTGAACAGTAATGGGGGTTTGGTGGGTGGCCTTTCCTGGGACCCCTGATGCCCACACTAGGGGTACACCTGGTCCTCCCACTCACTCCATTCTGAGGCTCGCATAGCTGAGGGCTCGACTGCAAGGGTCATGATTCGTGCATTCTCGGGGGGTAAGGTAAGGGTTATTTCGTCCTCAGTAAAATGCAGGGTGTCACCTAAGCGACAAAGCAGATCCCGTCCCAGCAGATGTGTTGGGCACTCGGGGAGGTAAACCAGCTTGTGGGAGATAGTCCTGTTTCCCAAAGCGCATTCCGCTGGGGCATATACTGGGCACTTGGTGTCTCTGCCTGTGGCACCCACCACGGTGACGGAATCTGCCACTGGCAGCTGAAGGGGTCGGTTCACGGCAGTTCATGCTGCTCCAGAGACCATTAAAATATTTATTTTTGAATTTTTTACCTGCATCTTTACTCGGGGTTCCGGGGGCAGGGTGGTCCATCTCCCCTGACACCCCTATTCTTGTTCCCCTGCCGCCATCATAGGGGCACATTCCTTCTCTGGGCATTCATTTTTCCAGTGTTTTTTTTTGCCGGCATAAGGCACACTGATTGCGATCCAGCCGTCTCTTCTGCGGGCCCGGACGTCCGCGTCCATGGCCCCTTCCTCCCCAGCTACTTCCACTATTTCGAGGCCTTCCCTTTGTGCTAGCTTGCACTGCTGCTACCATTATTTTGCATTGCCCTTTTTTGTTTTTAGGCTATAAGCTTGGTTTGCAGTCTCTAAAATTTGTGCCATGGTCATACCCATTAAGTCCTTTTTTTTTTTTTGCAACTTTCTCTTAATGTCGGGGGCTGCCCGGCTGGTAAAAATGCCCTTTATAATTGCCTCGGTTGCCAGATCATCAGGGTTTGCATTAGTATTTTGCCGAATGGCATTTTGAATGCGCTGTAAAAAGGCAACCGGACTCTTCTTCGGTTTCTGTATTATTTCATACGGTTTGGCCCAATTGTTGTTGGACAGCTGAGTGTCGGAGTCCATGCAAAAGTAACTCCTTGTAGGAGGTGAGACGGGTCATGTGTACGTGGTCTTTAGGGTTCCACCTGGGATTTGCCAGGGGGACCATGTCTGCAGCAGCTGGGACGTTATTTGGATTCCTTTTATGTTTCAGGTATGCCTCCTCCCTTGCCTTGGCTATAACCTGATTCTGCTTTACCTCAGACAACAAGGTCCTCAGGAGGATATTACAGTCATCCCAGTCCGGCTTGTGACTACTGAGGCACCCCTTGAAGACTGAAATAAACCGGCTTGGGTTCGTTGAAAATTCCCCAGCCTATGTTTTAAAAGCTGCTAAGTCTACTGGATTAAAGGGCATGTGGGTGTAAACTTGCATAGTGGTGGCCCAGAGCCTGTCTGCCCCTGGGCGAGTCACAACGGTTTTGGTAATCAGGGGATAGAGTCCCTTCGAGGGGGCAATCTCTGGAATCCGAGGTGCCCTATCTTTATAAGGTGGGGGTGTTAGGGCCGAAGGGGACACCGAATCTGCCATTACAGCTTGGGGAGGGGAGGGGGGGGCTATGGGGACTAACATTAGCTACTACCAATCCTGTCGGAATCAAATTACACCACTGCAAAATATCTGCTCTATTTCTTAAAGCCATAAATGCTTGCGCATACATATGTTCATTTTATTTACCCATTTGCTGACAAAACAGGATTAATTGGAGGATCATATTATAACTAATTGACCCTCCTGGCGGCCACCTTTCCTGGTCCTCTAGCTGATATTGAGGCCAGTCTACTGTACAGAACCTTTTAAAGTTGTTTTTAGTCATTAGATTTGACCCAAACTCTTTCCAGTTTGCTAGGATGCATTTTAGGGGCATGCACTGCGTGCTGCCTGTGGTACTCTGTCCCTGTCCCATGTTCCTGGACGACACTGGGCGTCCCCAGGTCTTAACAGAGAAAAATCCAGACCTCTGGTCTGTTCCTACCTTATTCAAGGGACCGGTTCCCCACCGTTTCCTGCAGTTGCTTCTCCACTATATGAGCGCGTTGCACCGTTGTGCCCTCCGGGGTCGATCAAATCGCGTCTCCTCCGAGGCCTCCCGATGAACTCACCGGTGCGCCCTGGGCGTCGGTTCTCGCTGCAATCTGTCGACTGCCGGGAGGGGTCCAGGCAAGGCTAAATAGCAGCCTCGAGCCCCACGTTGGGTGCCAAAAACTGTTGCAGAGTTCCCGAGGCAAGCAACAGCGGGGTTCGTTGCCCGGTATGCGTCGCGCCAATGACCACAACGGGGTAGAGAAGCAGAGAGATTTATTTGAAGCTTCAAATAGGGACACAGGGAGACTGAGCTGTCTCAAATCCTGTGCACCAGAGACAGGTTACACTGTACAATTTATGCCTTTTTCTTTACGTAACTATGCAAGCATATACATCCAATTACTTGTTGCCCCATACAATAGCGCAGCCAATCATGTAAAGCCTCCGATTGCTTTTACTGCCTGCATTACTCTATGGGGGAGGCCCGGTGCTACCTCTGCCGGGCGATGGGGTATGTCCGGAGGGACAGCCCCTTGGCCCAGCACGGAGGAGCGTCCGGGACCCCTGAGCCCTGGCAGGGCACCGGCCCTGTCATCACCGGCCCTGTTTGCTGCCCGGCACCCGGAACCGCCTGTCCTCCTTCCCAGCCCACCATTGCTCCCGCTCAGGCCCTGGGGGCAACCCCCTCAACACGCCCAGACAAGCAGGAGGGCCCCGCCTCTGCTGTGTGCAGTCTGGTGGGGCCTATGGAGGAGGGTGTGGAGAGATTACTACGGGCCATGGGAGACGACCCACCCCAGAGGGAGTTTTCCCTCTCTCATGCCTCCCCCACCTCTATCTCCCAGAGTTCCCGTGCCATTGCGCCTGCCCCCTGGCCCTACCCCTGTTCACCAGCCCACCGATGATACCATGGAGGGCTGGGTCCGAGTTCAGGGGAAGCGGGGCAAGTGGAAGGCTTGAGCTCCGCTCCTCCCATCCAATGCGGAGGCCCCTTGTAAGACCAGGAAAGGGGCCACTGACACCGAGCCTTCTGCCTTGCCCCTGGGTGCATCCCATCCACAGGAGCCAGCTGGGGATGACGTGGCAGCAATGGAGGGTAGCACTGCCCCTCCTCTACAGTCCCTCCTTGAGGGAGCCTCCGATAGAGCCCCTCCTGTCCCCCTGCCACCTAAGGCCCCTGCAAGCCCCGAGGCGTGCAACGCTTTGGGCACCAGCAAAGAGATCCTCGGGATGGTGGGTGGCGATCTTCCCACCATCGAGGAGATCGAGGCCCTGGGCTTGACCCCAATCACTCAGGGGAAGGACGACCCTCTGCCAGTGGGCCTCAATCTGGGCAACCTTGCCCTGGCCCCCCTTTCACTGTGCTCCCTCCCCTCTACCACTGCTTCTGCTCCCGCCTCCGAGGGACCCCTGGACTCTTCTGCCAACCCAGCCGCAGATGGGAACCTGCTACCGGCCGCCAAGCCAATCGAAGTGACGGCCAGTGCCACGCGGCCAGGACCAGAGTTACCAGGGGTATCCCTCACTGATGGGGGGTGGCCGATCTCCTTCCCGGGTGGGGGTCCCACTGCTGCTTTTCTGTCTGACACCGCCGTGGCTGAAACACCCACCATAGAGCCCAAGCCTGGCATCACCAAGGGCCCCCTTCCCACTCCACAGACCCCTGAGCCTGGCCGAGAGGTGTCACTCCCCAGTAGCTTGGCTGCTGGGGCCCAGGATCCCGCTTCCACACCTCTACCCAACCCTGACCCTGACCCCTGCCCTGCCCCTGCCCCGATGCCACCCCTGCCCCCTTCCCCTCCACCTTCCGTGCTGCTATTGCCACCCCTGGGGCCGTCTCCTTCCCCTTCTAGGAGGATGACCCCCAGGGGTCCCGACCCCCTAGGGGCTGCTATTTTCCCTCCACCCCCCGCACTGAGCCGGGGTCTGAGGCAGGCTCCATGATGCTGGCACATCGGATGCCACGCCGGGGGTCTGCCCCCTGCCTGCCCGTCTCGGTAGGCCACGGGGCTTCAACAGGGGCCCCGCTGGAGGACGGCCTGGGGCCAGCGACCCCGCCCCCCAGTAGACTGTGAGACAAGCTGCGAGAGTTTCTCCAGGATGCCCGTGGGTCCCAGAACAAGGTGCAGCTCACTCTCCAGCTCTGAGGGGACTTTCATGAAATCCTCCGGGCTGTGAGGGCCCTTTTGCGGGAGGGTAGAGGGACTGGGAGGCTGGGCGCTTCAGCCTACCAGCAGACCCGCTGCTTCCGTGACTCCCTGCTTACTTACGGGGTCAGTCACGCATTGCAGTGGCCGCGAGCGTCCCTGCTGGTGAGGATCCCCCCCAGCCCTCCCTAAGGCACCCACCACCTTCGCCGCACTAAACACCCGGGCTGTAGGGTGGGTCTACACGGATGCCAGGTGCTCTTCTTCTTTCTGGAGGGGGAGTACGCTGTGATTTTCCTGCAGGAGACCCATATGGATCTGGCCGCTGAAGACAGCTGGCAGCTGGAGTGGGGGGAGCGGGTTTATTTCAGCCACCTCACAGTTCATACGGCTGGAGTGGCGACCCTGTTCTCCCCCGGCCTATGGCCCGAGGTGCTGGGGGTTGCCAAGGCTGTGCCGGGCTGCCTGCTGCACCTCTGGGTCCGCACGGAGGGGCTAATGGTCAATATCATCAACGTCCATGCCCCGACATCGGGCCCGGAGAGACTGTGATTTTTTCAGCAGGTGTCCGCCTTCCTTGGCTCCTTGGATCCTTGCAAGCGCTTGGTCCTGGGTGGGGACGTTAACACCTCCCTCAATGAACGGGACCACTTGGGGGCTGAGCGGTGTCCGGCCACCGTGGACATCCTCCGGGAGATCGTTGACCGTCACTCCCTGGTGGACGTCTGGCGCGACCACCACCCAGACAACATCTCGACGTTCACCTTTGTCTGGATGGAGGCCCATGCGTTGCATCACTCCCAGTTGGACCGCATTTATTTGTCATGCTGTCACCTCTCATGGGCCCACTCCTTCAGCATCTGGCTGGCCCCATTCTCGGATCACCATCTGGTGACCATGACAGCCTCTCTCGCGCGGAGAGGCTAGGACTGGCCTATTGGCATTTTAACAACAGCTTGCTGGAGGAGATGGGTTTCATGGCGTCCTTCCGGGAGTTCTGGCCAGGCCAGGACCTTCTACGCGAGCCTTTTCTCCCTGGATCCGACCAATCCTGACACTTGTAGAGTGCTCTGGGACGAGCTCCCTACGGTCAGAGCGGGTGACCGGGACCGGCTAGAGCTGCCCCTCACTCTGGCTGAGCTCTTGGAAGCCCACCGCCGCATGCCCACCAATAAATCCCCAGGCATGGACGGGCTGACCGTGGAGTTCTACCGCGTGTTCTGGGATGTCCTTGGCTCAGACCTTGTCACCGTCTGGGCCGAGTCCTTGAAGAGCGAGTTCTCCCCCTGTCATGCAGGCAGGCAGTGCTCACCTTGCTGCTGAAAAAGAGGGACCCCTGCGATCTTCAGAATTGGCATCCCGTCTCGCTTCTCAGCACGGACTGTAAGGTCATAGTAAAGGCCATCTCACTGCGGCTGGGGTCCATGCTGGTGGACATGGTCCACCCTACACTGTCCCGGACTGGACCATCTTCGATAATCTGTACTTGGTCCGGGATCTCTTGGAGCTTGGGTGTAGGGACGGCCTGTCGTTTGCCCTTCTGTCCCTGGATCAGGAGAAGGCGTTCAACAGGGTGGATCATGGGTATCTCCTGGGCACTCTTCTGGCATTCAGCTTCGGACCGCAGTTTGTGGGTTTTCTCCGGGTGCTGTACGCCTCTGCAGAGTGTCTGTTCAGGCTCAACTGGACCCTGACCAAACTGGTCCGCTTCGGATGCGGGGTGTGTCAGGGGTGTCCGCTGTCAGACCAGCTGTACGCTCTGGCGATCAAGCCCTTCCTCTGTGTTCTCCACCGGAGGTTGATGGGGTTGGGGCTCTGGGAGCAGGAGCTGCGGCTGGTCCTGTCGGCGTACACCGATGACGTGCTCCTCATGGTCCAGGACCCAGGCCACTTGGTGCAGGTGGAGGCTTGCCAGGCCATCTACTTGGCAGCCTCCTCCACCTGGGTCAACTGGATCAAGAGCTCTGGCCTGGTGGTCGGGGTTGGGTGGCAGGCGAGCTCCCTCCCACCCGCGCTTCAAGCCATCTGGTGAAGTGCGGGTCCGCAGCTCTATCTCAGCATTTACCTTTCTGCCACGCATCCCTCTCCGCTGGAGAACTGTCATGGTTTAGTGAGCAGGGT